AAAGAAAGAAAGAAAGAAAGAAAAAGAAAGGCCCACTAAGCAAATTTCAGAGGACAGTAGGAGACAAGAAAAAACTTGCTTTGTGATTGAACCTCCAATCACAACTCTTCATTCCAGGCTGAGGAAGAGTTTGTAGCATTTAAAAGTATTTTTGTTGGTGTGCCTGGGTGCTCAGTCAGTTAAGCATCTGCTTTCGGGGGGATCAAGCCCTCGCGTCTGGCTCCCTGCTGAGCAGGGAGTCTGCTTCTCTCTCTCCCTCTCCATCTGCCACTTCCTTTACTTGTGCTCTTTCTCTCTGTCAAATAAATAAATAAAATCTTTTAAAAAAGTATTTTTATTTGATGATCCAATAGAAGTCACATGTAATATATCTTATCCTCATACATTTTGTCATAAAGTTCTTCAATAACTTTCTTTCTATCATGGTAATTTGTTTGTTTAGAATTTCTATCTTTCTAAATTCATTTTAAAAAATTTATACTTATAAATTATATTCATATTTTCATACAGAATCTCATATTCATTATGGTTTCTTATGACTCTAATTTCCTCTAAAGTTCTGGTTATTTCTTTATTCTTATTTATTGATTGGCTTAGCTAAATGTTATCTCTTTTATTGTCTTTTTTTTTTCTTTTTCAGGATTATGATGAGGCAATTTATTACCCCAGCATGTGTTCTAATGCTTCTTGTTGGCAACTGCCACCTGTCCAGTGAGTCTGTCCAGATCCCTCTGTCCCAGAGTTGTCAGTTTGCAGCCCCCACCCTGGTATTTTCCCACCACTTTCAGCCTCTCTAGGGCTTGGAGGACCCTGTGGGCCAGGCTCTTGGAGCCCCTGCTGAAGTGGCTGGTCAGAACCCCGTTTCTTGGACGTTCCCTGCAGGTCTTGGTCCCGGAGGCGTCCCTGGGAGGCACTGCCCCAGAGGTCCCCGTGTGGTGCTCTGGAAGCAGCTCGTGCGTAGAACCAGTTTTCATCACAGCGAGCAATCCCTTTGTGTTTGGCCAGTTTGACAGTGCCCACCCATTCAGGGAACCTCCAGCTTCCCAGACTTTCTGAGGAAGGCTGCCACAGCCCTGACGAGCTCCCGCGGCTTCACGTCTTCTACAGAAACTCCACGCATCCTGCAGCCTCTGCGCTGCCCGCCAGGGGACCCTTGCCTTGTCTTCATTTCATGTTATTGATATCGTTGTTTTTAGTAAAGCAGCTCTTGAGTTTGTTTAGTTATGGCATTTTTTGTTATCCAGTTTTCAGTCTTTTTTGTCAGTTCCTTTCTTCTGCTTTCATTTAACCAATTCTTTCTTGTTTTTATAATATAGTTCGGTGTTTTGTTTTATCCTTACTGGTTTACTTATCCAGGTTCTTAAGTATATGTATTTTCTCTGAATACTATTTTAGCTGGATACAACTGGTTCTGCTAGGTAGAGATACAATTATTATTTTCTAAATATTCTTAATTTTTGGTTAGGAGCTCCTTCAATCATAAGTTTGTTGTTGTTTTTTAATTTTTAAAGAGAGAGAAAGAGAGCGTGAGCAGGGGGAGGAACAGAGGGAGAAGCAGACTCTCTGCTGAGCAGGGAGCCCGAGGTGGGGTTCGATCCCAGGACCCTGGGATCATGACCTGAGCCAAAGGCAGATGCTCAACCCACTGAGCCACCCAGGTGCCCCCCCTTTTTTTAACTGTTAATTTTTTTTAAATGAGTTCTTAATTTTCAGGTGACAGGATTTTTATTTTCTAGTTTTATTTACCTCTGAGCAGAAAATACTGCTTTTACTCTTTCTACTTTTAAATATTTGTTTAGTTTTTGATGTGCATGATATGTAGCCATTTTTCTAATGTACTATAAGCACCTTAAAAGAAGGTGTATGCTGTTTTCTTTAAAGAGTTTGATATTTATCTATTTATACCCAATTAAATATAACACTATTATTTAGTTCTATACCTCTCTTTATTTTTCACCCTTTAATTCATAATTTCCTGAGAAATAAATTAAAGCCTCCTTCTACCAACACAATTCTGTCTATATCATGTTGTATTTTGTATATTTTGAATCTTGAATTCAGTGAAGTAAAAAAATAAATAAAGGGAAAAATCATAAAGCCAAAAGCTGTTTAAAAAAAAGATAAAATTGATCAACTCTAGGCATACTAAGATACACCGAGAGACATCTAGAGAGAGACAGAGACAGAGAGTGCAAAGTTACCTACCTCAAATGTAAAAAGAGGGATTATCACTATAGGTAATAAAAGAATAATAAATACCAGGAGTATATTTATGCCAATAGATTTGGCAACTCAGATCAAGTAGACAAACGACTTGAAAGATAAAAAATCTAAAGTGATTCAAGAAAAAAATAGAAAATCTGAGATGACTTGAAAGTATTAAAGCATTTCAATTTATAGCTATAATAAAGAAAATCCCAGGCCTGAATAGCTTCAATAGTGAATTCCATCAATCATTACAGGAAGAAATAATACAAAAACTACATAAAATCCTTCAGGAAGGATTATATTATTATACAGCTTTATTCATAATAACCAAAATGTTAGAATAACCTAGATGTTGTCCATCAATCAGTGAATGGGTAAGGATATTGTGGTAATACCTACAATGGATGTACTCAGCAAGAAAAACTAGCTACTGATTACCATGCAACAACATAACTGAATCCTAAAAAGCAGTATGTTGAGCAAAAAATCCAGATATAAGAGAATAAATACTATATGATTCCATTCCCATGAAAGTCTGAGCATAGTAACATTTAATCTATAGTGACAGAAATTAGGTCAGTTGTTGTCTGGGGTCAGAGTGGGGGTGGGGATTGACAGTAAAGGAGCAGAAGAAAACCTCTTGAGATGACAAAAAGCTATATTGTGATAATGGCTATGTTTGTCAAAATTCACGGAATGCTTACAATGGAGGAGAAATGAGCTTCTTCAATCTAATAAATGGTATGCACAAAATACCTACATCTAACATCATCTTCAATGATTAAAGATGAAAAACTTTTTCCCCAAATTTGGGGGGAAAGAGAGAATGTTCACTCACAGCCATTCTATTCCACAATGCAAAGGAAGTTGTAGCCAGGGAAATAAGGCAAACAAGAAAATAAGGAAAGGAACAAAAGGTGAGGAGAGATACCAGGAAAAATGGAAAAATGGAAAAAAACTGTTCTTACTCTAAGACAACATTATCATGATCATGTACATTGAAAACCCTAAAGAATCTACAAAAGACTCATCATTTTAAGCAGACTCGCAAGTCCACAGAATACAAGGAGACTATAAAAAATCAATTGCATTTGTACTTTGACAATGAAAAATTAGAACTTGAAATTGTAATAATTACCACTTTAACTGTATTCTAACATGAGATAATTAGGGATAAATTTAATAAAATACATGCCAGATCTGTACACTATAAACTGCAGAATATTGCTGAGAGAAATTAATGATCTAAATTGATAGGAAGGTATGTCATATTCATGGATCAAGACATAATATTGTTAAGATGTAATTTCTACCCAAATTGACCTATATAGTCAACATAAAATCAATCAAAACCTCAGAAGCATCATTATAGAACTTGGCAAGCTGACTCTAAAATTTGCATTGAAAAGAAAGGACCTCTAAAAGCCAAACACTGGAGTGTCCTGTCCAAAGTTAACTCTGGTAATCAAGAAGCGGATAGACTGGCAGTGGCAGGTCTATACACAAAGAGTTGTTAATGGGTTATATAACAAGCTCAAAGTTGAGGACTTAACTTTAAAAGTAGAATAATTAAGATAATGTGGTATTGGCATAAGAATAAATATATAGAATAATGTAACAGAATACAGAAATGCATTCACTGATATAACACAAAATGATTTTGAATTAAAGGGGGCCAAGGTAATTTAATAGGGAACGGATACTAGTTAACAAATAGTAATGGAAAACCAGATAACCATATAGAAAGATAGGAACCTCAATCTTTATGTCACAATATACATGGAAATTAACTAAAATAGCTATAAACATAAAACCTAAGCTTTTAAAAATTCTAGAAGAAAGAGAGGAGAAAATATCTGTGGACTTGGGATAGGCAAATATTTCTTATATCACAAAAGAAAAATCAATAATTGGACTTCATCAAAATTAAAATCTTTGACTTTTCAAAAGACACAGTTAAGAAAATAAAAAGGCTAGCTACAGATTGGCCAATTTACTTTTTTAAGTTTTACTTAAATTCTAGTTAGTTAAAATACAGTGTAACATTACTTTAGATATACAATATAGTGATGATTGGTTGATTTAAACACACACAAATGCATGGACATGCACACACACATGTATCATATGACCTCACTGATATGAGGAATTCTTAATCTCAGGAAACAAACTGAGGGTTGCTGGAGTGGGGGGTGGGGTGGGAGGGATGGGGTGACTGGGTGATAGACACTGGGGAGGGTATGTGCTCTGGTAAACGCTGTGAATTGTGCAAGACTGTTGAATCCCAGATCTGTACCTCTGAAACAAATAATGCAATATATGTTAAGAAAAAAAAAAAAAGAAGAAGGTAGCAGGAGGGGAAGAATGAAGGGGGGGAAATCGGAGGGGTAGACAAACCATGAGAGGATGGACTCTGAAAAACGGACTGAGGGTTCTAGAGGGGAGGGGGGTGGGAGGATGGGTTAGCCTGGTGATGGGTATTGAGGAGGGCACGTTCTGCATGGAGCACTGGGTGTTATGCACAAACAATGAATCATGGAACACTACATCTAAATCTAATGATGTAATGTATGGGGATTAACATAACAATAAAAAAATAAAAGAAAAAGAAAATAGAAGATCTTAGGTTATTTCATTACAAGTAGATATGAAGGTTAAATAAAGTTATTTCTAGGTTTCTACTTCTACAACAAAAGAGCAGAGACTTGAACTTCTCTTCCTAGTTGTTCTCCACAGCTCTTTCCTTACACTTCACGTATAACTAAAGAATGTATTATTTCAAGTAAGCCAGATCTGGGTTCAAATTCTGACTTTATCACTTGCTCTGGCACTTGTGTGACAACCCTCTAATTTCTCAACTCTTCATTAGATGGGAATAATAATACCACCTTTCATGAGTGAGAAGGAATCCATAGAGGTTGGGTATATCAGTAAGGCTTCATGGAGTTAATGACATTTAAAATTCCTTTATTCATAGGTAGGTTATCAACAAATGGGATGAAGAATGTAGCGTTTGAAGCAGAACACTGCTCTCAGCAAAGGAACAGAGGTAAGAAATTACAGGGTGTATTTGACAGCTATACCAGTTTGTACATGGAGTGAGAAAAAATTTTTAAGACTAATTAATTTATTTACTTATTTTTGAGAGAGGGGGTGGTGAGAGCAGAGGGAGGGGCAGAGAGAGAGAGAGAAAGAGAGGGAGAGAGAGAACCTCAAGCAGACTCCACCCTGAGCACAGAGACTGAGGTGGGGCTTGATCCCAGATCATGACCGGAGCTAAAATCAAGCCAGACACTTAACCAACTGAGCCACCAGGCGCCCCTGGAGTGGGAAATTTTAGGAGAGATGTGAGAGATAAAACTATAGGAGGGCTCTAAATGATAAGACACAGAATTTGGATTTATATAATTACAAATGGGGATAAACAAATGTTCTTGCCCAAGACAAGGATTGATCAGAATTATACTTAAAGAAAAATATTCTGGTAATAATGAAAGGAATACCTGGAGCTTGAAAAAAACAATTACCAAAATCAGAATGTGGCAATTAGGAGTTTAACATAAAGCAGAACATCAAATGTAAGACACCATCAGTTGTAAGATGCATCATTAGTCTATTTACTAAAATCAAAGAACAGAAAGGACTGCTAATTAAACTATGACACAATCCTAATACATCACTGATTGTAGGACATATTCCAGTTTCAGAAATGTTACCATTTGAACAAATATGTATTTTAGAATTGATGAAATATGGTATAATGGTTGTAATGAAAAGGAAGAAGTGATTAAAAGTTTTGACAGAATCTGGTAACCGAATTACCAAAAATAGAGTGGGAATAGGAGGAATCAAACGTGGAACTGAGATTCTTAGCTTTATTTCTTAATGTTAGTATCAAAAAATTGGAATGAT